ACCTGAGCTGATGTCTACAACTCTTCCAATTCTTCAATCACCTTGGCAAATAATCAGTAAGCTTCTCAACTTCATATTAGATTCTCAAGCTTGCTGAAGCCAAATTTCATTTCTCCTTCATTCTTTCAGTGTTCCTCTAAGTACTTGTCTGAAACAAGAGTGTCGTGCAGGAAACACTTTGGAGGAGAACAGCCCTTCTAAAGATGCACTGTCATGTTGCCCGCCTCCACATATGGTTAAGCGCTGACGGTAAGTATTGGTAAGAAAATTCAGCCACCATGGAATGCTCTTTGGAAAGCTACACAGGCTTCATAAGCTAGAGGGCCTCTTTCAGTTCTGAGTGCTCCTTCCAATCAAACAATATTAGCCAGGACATAACTGGCTCTATTTTATAGTTGCACTCAGAGATTTTTGAGGAGGTCTTGTGGAGCAGTCGGTAGTGGCCCTGCCTCTGAATTGGAAGCTCTGGATTCATGTCCCATGTAACCCATGACATGTTGGCCAAAAAGGTGCATTCATGAAATGGCCAAATAGATTGAGGATCAACTGAAAAATGCTTCTTCCACACACCCATGCCTAGGCAGTAAGAGTAGGAGAGAGTCCTGGTCAACCATCTTATGGAAGGGATATTATAGCATCTACTATCACTGTCCATAGTTCCAGATCACAACGTGCAGGCACAAAGTATGTTGCCAAAGCAATTTGGACTCCTTGAGTGAACGGTAACACACACAATACCAAGAAATTTTTAACATTGGGTTGAAAACATTGACAAGAACTGTTAACGTATTATTTGAAGAATTACATCTCCAACAGCACAGCACACTTTAGGACCATGTTAGATCAGAGTTGTAAATGTGGCAATGAACCCATTTCAGTATGGCAGAGGTAGTTCCTATGATGGCTTTTCTCATCTTATATGGGGTTGCCATAATGCTGGTTAGTGACCTTTACTGTACCCCATAATGCTGGTTAGTGACCTTTACTGTAAACGTTTAACTATTGAATTTAGCCAGTGGTTTTACAGGTGGATGTTCTTCCTGTCACTAAGCCTCACCTTTACCTGAGCTGGGTCAGGCACCATTCACACTGGCTTGCCTGCCTCAGCAGCTCTTTTCTTCAGTAGCAAATAAATTCTGGAGTGAGGCTTGAACCCAGGGTCTTCTGGTTTGAAGGTAGAGCAAGAAACCCACTGAGCCACATTAGCTGCTATAATAGAATGTTCGAGAAGCAATTTAATTCTCCTCACTGCACAGACACAAAGATTCCCTAAAGGAAAATACAGGATTAAAAAACTCAAAAATGTTTCTCTACAACAGCAAGCTGATCTGTGTACAAAGATCCTCAGAAGAGAGTTATGAATATGGTGCTTACCATCTGCAAGAAGGAGAGTGAACACATCCGGTCTTTCTGTGGATGATTGGAAAGATCCAAAAAAGTTCTGGAAGGTACAGAAAGACCAGCTCAAGTCAAGAATCAACTCCAGGGTTAACAGACTCCAACTGTTGTCAAACAGACAGCAACCCCATGAACAAATGAGTGTGACTTTTCCAATGAGGAGCTGTCAGAGAGTCTCATCAAATTAGTGATTGCTTCTATACCAATTAAAGCGTTCAAGAATGATCTTCTGGACAAGAAAAAGGGGCCACATATTGACACATTATAGAATGGGGCGGCACGGTGGCTCAGTGGTTAGCGCTGCTGCCTCACAGCATCAGGGACCTGGGTTCGATTCCACACTCGGGCGACTGTCTGTGTGGAGTTTTCACATTCTCCCTGTGTCTCCGTGGGTTTCCTCCCACAGTCCAAAGATGTGTAGGCTAGGTGGATTGGCCATGCTAAATTGCCTGTTGTGTCCAGGGGTGTGTAAATTAGGTGTATTAGGCATGGGAAATGCAGGGTTACAGGGAAAGGGAAGGGGGATGGGTCTGGGTGGGATGCTCTTTGGAGGGGTGGCATGGACTTGTTGGGCAGAATGGCCTGCTTCCACATGGTAGGGATTCCATGATAATGATGGACAAGAGAAATCTGGTTTCAAAGGTCAGCCCAGAATAAAACACAGTTGGTAAACAAGAAAGTTCAACACCACAACACTGGCAGCAGATTTTCAAATGCAAGCACATCTGGTGGATGCCAATGGGCAAACAGTGCCAAGACTACCAAGACATACAGATCTCAGTACAGTCGCAATTCATGAGATTCAAACCACACCCACTGAGATGGAACAGACCAAGGGTATGAAATTGAGTCAGTCAACAATCTCAAGTTGTACCCAAACCACTTTGACATGATCTGCAATTTTGTGGATCATGTGAAATTGTCACAAGGATGATTCATCTATTCATCAATCCTCCAAAGATCTGCAGTGTGCACATCCAGGAAAAACTTTGTGTGGAATTGAATCAGGTTGGAAGAGTGCAATTCTGAAGGTGGAGCCCCACTTGGATTGGTGTATCCTGAAAAAAGATGGCACCATAAGACTAAACCAAGATCCAAAGTACCTCAACCTTCCTCATGAAGAGACGACCACATAAACACTGATCTTTGAAAAACTAAGTGCTAAATTTTCTGGAGCCAGGTTCTTTCCTAAATAAGATGTGTGACACAGCCACTGTTCTGCCAACTTAGCAGAAAAAGTCCCAGGAGCTCATGATATTTGAGCTGGCATTACCTGCGCTGTTTCAGGTTGATACCATTTGGGCTATCAGTTAGCCAAGACTGATTCCAGCAGGAATATTGTACAGGATTATTGAAAATGTATCTGACAGCGTTTGCTTGGCTGACAGTGTTATGGTCATGGGTAAGACAAAGGCAGGTCATGAGCACAACCTTTAACTACTGATGGCAGCAGTACAATGACAAGGAATGGTGTTTAACAGCATGAATTTGTCAAGCCAGGGTCAGCCACTTTAAACATCTTCAGCTCCATGGAGTCTGCCTTTCCAGGCAATTTTGAGGATGTTAAGTAAGTGCTCACCCTGAGGGTGAAATGGATGTTTCATCTTCCTTTTGCCATTTTTTCTTAACATTTGCGGAGAAAGTATCATGCTGAGAAAGTTTTTGAAGAAAGACGTTCGCTATTTGTGGCAAGACAACCACAAGTACGTCTTTGGTTCTCTTGCGGCGGTCGTCTGCAAAAGTTTGCCTCCTGCAATACTCTGACCCAAAGATTCTCAAAGCAGATACATCACCAAAGGCTGAGCCATATGTCTTTAATGATTCATGTTGATGGTGTCCTTATGTGCACACACTGTAAAACCTGAGATAAGTGTTATTAACAAATCACAACCAATTTCCAGTAACCAGATTTCACCAAAAGTCACAGCTTGTGAGCATCTTTTAAGCTTAGAATTTGTATCATCTATTAACTCTTCAAACTCCCAATCAACTCGCCTTGATTTAGCCTTTTAAATCCTCTCAGTAAGCACTTTTTCAGTGCAAATCCACAGATGTGGTGAAGCTTATGTGGTTTTGGAATAAACTCCAAAATCTTCAGCTAACTCCCCATGACTCTCCATTTTACTCTACACCAAATGTCCTGAATTATACTTGTGTGATATTACATGAAATCTCAGAGGTCTTGGCATCTTCTCTGAGACCTTAGCCCTGATGAGTGACTTGCATGTATTCAGGGGTTCAGAAAAGAACTGGGTCTACTTGTAATAACTACTGGAGCAAGAGATTATCATGCAGATCACCCTTCAGGGTGAAGTAACAATCTCTCAAACTGAATCTCGGGCAGATAGAGGAGTAGAGAGAATGAGATATTTTTGGTAAAAAGGAGTTTGTTCGGGTCTGGAAACTGGAAACTAATAAAGTGGTGCAGACCAGTGGGAGAACCACTGACATGAGTGGGAAGAGACTAGAGGAAGGGAGGAAAAAAAAATCAAATCAGGATTTGAAGAGGGAAGATAATGAAGCAAGGACACTGGAAGCCATGATCAACTAGAAAAAAGTGTTGTTTGAGGATCTTGGGATGAAGATTGAAGCGAGCTGTGCACATTGGCATCTCTCGGAGGCTGGGTGTAAGCTTTTCTGAGTTTATCATTGCAGGTTGGATATTTCATAGAGCTGATAACTGTGGACAGACTGGAAGGAAATCAATGGATGCGATGCTGAATGGAAGATTATGTGATAATGGTTAACTTCACGTGCTTTAGTGTACACAATTCTGAGGTAATTGGATAAGGTGCATTTTCCCTGTAGTAGCATAGTACAACTGTAACAGCAGCTCTCTCATACTTTAGATTGTTGCAGAGAACAGCTTGAAATTGCAGCAAATAGTTGAATGAATGTACGTAATAAAATTGGAAAAAAAAAGCAATGCTGTACAAGGATTTCAGCATCTGCGGACAGATTGATGAAAAGACTTATTGCCTCGGGTCTATGCATCAGTTCGGCATTCTCCATTTTTGTTTCAGATTTCCGACTTCTGTGGTCTTTTGCTTTTGTGTGAATGAATGCACAGGTGGTTATAAAAGAAAACCACAAAAACAGTCAGTCAAATGTCAAACCTATTGTAGAATTCCAACATGACATTAATTTCTCTGCTGCAGCTTCTGGTTATAACCACAAAAATACACCATCACCTCACTTGGTGACTAACTTGCATTGAGAACACTTCTTCCTTCAAAACTGTTACTTCTGCATTGCTGAAATAATATCCGCTTGCATCTATTTCAGTTCTTGGTAATGTGGGTGTCCTATAAATAATCCTGTCAGCAGTTGACAGTGCCCTTATCTATTCAATGACTTGGTCTGAAATACAACTCAGAGGGGAAACAACAGTCCATTGCAAAATGTGGCTTATATTTCTGTGCATTAATTGTTCACTGGCAATCAGTAATCTGTTCCACCCTGACTTGACAGTGCTCACAATCTCAAAATAACTTCAAAAGGGTGTTTTGAAGGGTGATGGAAACTAAAACTGCAACTTATCTAGCTGTTGTCCACTGTCTCACAACAGTGTGGGAACTGGTGATCACATGGTTGCTCAAGCTTAAAACAGTGCTCTGCAGCTTTCCAATGCAACCTCAGCATATATACCAACTGTCAGCAATTCACACTTCTGCTTGGATGATTTTGAATATATTTGAAGTCTGTGCTTCGCCATCAACAGAAGGAAGATTTTGAAGTCGAGCTGTTCAAATGTTGAATGCCACACTCAGAGTGCTGCTAAAGTAAGTTCATTAGAGGGAGTTTATGGGTCTGATGCCTTGATGCAGGGCTAAGAGATTGATTTTGTAGAGTGGTCATTTCTAGCGAATGCCCTTTTCTGCAATTGCACCATAAGCCTCACACGCTGCTTAACACCTGCCCCCATTTCTCCATCAGTCTTGACTCATACCTAACATTCTTAGCTTAACTGACTCCTTATCCACCCACATCTCACACCTTATACAAGCTGCTAGTTCAGGGACCATGACAACAACGTCACTCAAACAGATTGCACTACAATTTGCTTCCGTTTCTTTTCCACGCCAAGCTGGACAACAGAAACCAGCAGCAGCTATCTAACAGGGGCCAGTTCTCACTCCAGCGGAGGAGACAACACTCTCCATCATTGGAATGGACACAGCTGTGGTTATGGCCAGCAGTGTCATATGGTCATACCTACTTTTCCTCACTCCTATTTCATCCTGATTGCACCATCTCTTCTAATTACCAAGCTAGCATGATGTAAGCATGTATCTCCTACATGTCACCCCCTGCCCTCACCTCAACCCCATCCCTGCACTCCCTCTCTTCAGCTAACAGCTTTAAACCAAGGTTAACCATAGAGTTGTGCTGTAGGTTCCCCAAGTGCAGTGAAAGTGGCACGAGGAAGGAGACTGGCTGGTCAACTGGGCATGGTAGAGTGGACATGGCACAAGAGAGAAGACTTGCTGCATCTGCAACAGTCATTGGCTCTAATGACACTCATTTCTCATTGGTTATTTTTGCATGGATCATGGAAGATGCTGGCAAGGCCAAACTTTATTGCCCTTACCTAATTGAACTTCAGTCAAATAGCTTTCAGGGCATTCAGAGACACCAGAACCAGGCAATCAGAGGTCACAGCGACAATGGGCTTTGGCCAAATGAGAATCCACAGGGAGTTTTGCAGCTAACGTCAACTGGCAGAGAGTCAATGCCTCTGTGTCTTTCCTGCTAGGTTGTGTCTTAAATATGCTGCACATCAACAAATAGACAATGGGGCTTGCTCAAATTGATACTCAAGTCTGCACTACCCAGGCTGTATATTGTACCCGAGAAAGATTGTCCTACATCAGCATGGTGTGCTATACCCTCCCTAATACAACACTCAATAAAGTAGGCATGTTTTAGGAGAATAAGAGATGGAAGAGTGAGATGTCTCCTCCAATGAGAAAAGCAATGCTTATGACATGGACTAGAAGAAGCCCAGGGTTTTATCAGGTGAGATGTGTGAGCTATAGATACTTGTTTCTTCTGCTATGCTTTGTCAACAAACTGTCATCATTCTCTCTATTTGGGACATACACCATTGAGTTGCTTCAAGTACATTTTTCTCTGCATCATTAAGTTATGTATATTACATTTTTCTCTGCTTCATTAAATTAGGCTTCTGGTTTTATTCGTACTATGCTGATATCCCTTGATAACTTTTGTGATTCCTTAAAGGTATAAAATGATATATAAAAGTCTAGCCTTTGCACTGCAATTCCGGGCTCCAGGTGGGAATTATCTTATTCTGAGGATGTTCTGGCTAGCCATGGAGATCCCATCCATGGGAAACATATTTCCCGCTTCCATGCTGCAGACTACAGTCATATTTCTTTAATCCTCAAATATATGTCTCTATTCTGTGCAAATAGCAAGCATAGGCTCATTTTCCTCTACGTCTCATCACCTAACACTGGCACAGTCCCCAAGATCAATCTTATGAGCCTTGGCTGCAACTTCCAAATAAGGTTATCTTTGTTTAGGTCATGAAGAACAATATGAGGCATGCATATTGCTTGATGATGTGAGACAATAAACGGTCTGCCAATGGAAGAACAGAATCATATTCTGAAGTTCGGAGGTTTGTGGAAGGGAGCTGGAAATGCACCACCCCATTCACTTTAGCCAACCATGTCAGCATCTAGTGATGCAATGAGATTACAGGAAACCTGTATGCAGTACAAACAAAGGTATATTTAGAGCAATACAAACTGTATAAATTGGATAATAAGCCCTCAGAACAACCTTTTTCTTTGCCTCCCACTGTGTCAAGGCAGTGTGCAGACAGCCCCACTTGGAATGAAGGCAGCATGTTGACTGGTGACTGTGATGGTTTGGACAGGCATTTTCAGGGGACTCAGTACCTCCAGGGCCCTGCAATGCTGAGGTTGTCCTGTACAGGTTCGGGTGCTCACTCTCTTTCCTGACCAGTTAGAGGCAATGGCTCCCCGGCAGAGGGGTGGGGGAAAGGAAGGACATCCCCGAGGTGTCTGGAGATAGGAAGCCTGCCCACAACTCCTCCTCCCTGTGGGTTTCTGACTTATTGAAGTGAAGAGTCATGTCGAGGCAGGTCAAGGTGCTCCAGAGATGGAGGTCAGGTCCCCAGAACCTATGTGTGTTCTGCTCTACCTGGGTCTCCAAGGTGGCTGCTATCCTTTCCATGCAGGCAGCGAAGCACTCATTTACCAGGCAGTGCAGACTCCTCCATTTTCCCTTCCAGGCCGCTGAAGGCCTCTGGATCTCTGCCTGATGTACCCCTGCCTGTTCCTGCATCTCCAGCATGTCAATCATGGAAAGCTAGAGAGGTGTGTCCATTGCATGGGGCTAAGCGGGGGCCTGGTTTCAGTGATCCCCCAAGTATCAGAGGCCTTGCATGTTGCTTACTTCACTGGTTGTGGATTTATGTTTACGCTGTGCTCACCAGATGCTGAGTCCAAGCCAAACGCAGTTCATATATCCACCGAGGTGCATATCTCTGTGCTGGTGGAGCTTGCAGGACCCCATTAGGGAAATTGGGGAAAGGCTAAGTTTACTGAAATAAAATATGATTTGATTCAAGCGTAGTTACTAGGAGTGGCTACTTGCAGAAAAAACCTGGAAAGCATTCAAAAAGGTAACAGTCGTGTCTGTTCTGGTGAAGCGAAAGGATGGCACGAAGACTGGAAAACACTGGATATCAAAGGATATATTGGTTAGGATTAAGAACAAAGGAGACACTTATGTCAGGTACCAAAGGCTCAATATGGCAGAGCTCCTAAAGAAGTATGAAAAGTGCAAGAGGGATCTCAAAAGGAAATGAGGAAAGTAAAGAGAGTGCATTGCTGGGTAGAATAATGGAAGCCCAAATGTTTTCTTTTAAATATGGAAAGGAATAGAGTAATGAGGCAAAGAGTAGGGCCCATTGGGGACTTTAGAGGTAATGTGTGTTTGGACGCAGAAACGTGGGAACAGTCCTCAAGGTATACTTTACAGGCTTCACAACATGAAAGGATGACACAGGAATATACATCAAGGTGGAGGACCTTGAAATATTAGAAGATATCAACATAGACAGAAGGTACTAGTGGGTTAAGCAGCCTTAAAGGTTTGCAGACCCAGACGATGGAACTGGAACCGATAGCTAATCTCAGTGATGGTGACCATGAAACTATCATTAAAACCCATCCAGTTCACCGATGTCCTTCAGAAATCTGCCACCTTCACCTGATCAGGCCCACTCCAGATTCGCAGTAATGTGCTTGTCTCTTACCTGCCCTCTGACATGGCTTAACAATTCAAATTCAAGTGTAATTTACGATGGGCAACAAAACTGGCCTTGCTAGGGAAGAGTAAAGGACAGCGTTACAGACTTCACTACATTCTTATAAAGATGAAAAGGCCTGGAGTGTTAAATGCCTTGACAATCTTGACAGATTCCTTTCATTGCTTAACATGTCCATTTTAGAAGCGTGACAATTCTTTGACAGCATCAACTGTTCTTTGACAGCTTGAAATTTATTTGAAGTCTTGACCATCCCAGTTGGTTCAGGCACTTTCTACGCAATGTGCGTAACTTGTTTTCATAATCGCAGGGGGGCACCTGATTTCTCCAAAAGGATACCTTACCTCTTCAAAGATTACCTCGAAAGAGCTAACTTATTGCTCTTAAAGTGCATCTTATGTCTCCCAAAGTGTTCCTGACCTTCAACAAAGGGAAGTTTGACTTCCCAAAGGTTATCCTGGGACCAAATACCTTAAGGAATACCTTACCTCTCTCCCAAAGGGTATCCTGACTATGCAAACAAATCCACAAGGTTCAGGCTTGCTCTTTCCTTGTTTCATCTGCATGCATTGGGTTTCAGACACTTAGAGCACCAAAGTTATGCAGGATTGTCAGCAGCTAATGATTTAAATGGCCAGTTGCCTCCATGCATGCATCTCCAGCCAACTCCAAACCTGCCACTGTGAAAGTGAGTTGTGGCTTGTTCTGAGAAAGGACTGAAAATTTTTGAAGACTATAGTAAGGTTGTTTTTCTCCCCTGTATAAAAACTTACCTCGTGCAGCAGCAGCCTTCTTGTTTTCAGCGGCGGGTGTGTGGAGAGAACACGAGCCAGAAAGGAACTGATATATTCGGGCATTGGCTAAACCCGAAACACTACACGTGAAGTGTCTCCCACCCATCCTACTCCTCTAACCAAAAAAAAAGATTGTGTGGAGGGTCGGTAAGGTAAGGCCTTTTTTTTATTCTTCTGGAAATCTCGAGCAGAGGGAATGGAAGCTAGGGCAGTTGCATGCTCCTTTTGCAGGATGTGGGAGGTAAGGGTCACTGCTGGTGTCCCCTCTGACTTCACCTGCGAGAAGTGCACCCAACTCAATCTCCTCAAAAACCACGTTAGGGACCTGGAGCTGGATGAACTCCAGATCATTCGGGAGGCTGAGGGGGTGATAGAGAATAGTTATAAGGAGGTGGTCACACCCAAGGTACAGGAAAAAGGTAGCTGGGTGACTGTCAGGAAGGGGAAAGGGAATAGGCAGACACTGCAGGGATCCCCTGTGGCCGTTCCCCTCAATAATAAGCATACCGTTTTGGATACTGTTGGGGTGGATGACCTACCAGGGGAAGGCTATAGCGGACATGTATCTGGCCCTGTGGCACAGAAGGGAAGGGGTGAGAATAGGAGAGCAATTGTAGTGGGGGATTCAATAGTAAGAGGCACAGACAGGCGCTTCTGTGGA